ATTGGTTTCTGGAAAAAAAAAAAAAAAGAGGTCATAATTTGTTGTGTTTGTCAAGTCCCATGGTGAAAATACTCTCATGTCCTACTTCAAACTACTGTTGGGTGGGAGATGTGCACAATGCACTTTAGCATGCAACTTTTGCGAGCTGGCTTTAGCACACCACTGCATGTAGCCCATTTTTTAAAAAATCAGGACAGTCAGGTCAGCTGACATGTCTTAACTAGAAGATGAAAGTTTATTGCTCAGAAAGAATGTAAAAGTTTGATGACAAGTCTTTGGTTACAAATTTAAATACCAGCAATGTTTTGAAAGAACATATTCTTAATTATATTGTACTTGCCCAGGTCTGAAGCCCCGACGGGCAGACTCCATTACTTTGGTCAGGTGTATTTTCTATGAACTCATCAAAACAGGGTGTGCAGTGGACCTGGGAGGTATTTGACAGGTATCAAGGTTCTGCATTTGGTGATGGAGCAAACCTCCATTTAGGGATGCATGCTGGAAGCACTAAGGATGCTCTTGAGTAATCTCTACAGAGTCCCATAGAGAAGTTCTGGAGTTTAAACGACCATGACCAGCAGACTCCGACCCATCGAATAAAGAGCTGGAGTATAAGGAAGTAGTTTAATACATCCAAAAATTTGGAAACTATAGGTTTGAGGTAATAGCCTATGTCAGCCATCTCTCACAAACGCCTAATCCCTTCTGTCTGCTAGAACATTTAGGATCTTTACCTGCAGGTTTGTTAAATCACGAGACTCTTGAAGGAATACAAGGGACACAGCTGGAGGAGGAGGTGCAGAATTATAATGCTACCTGGGTAAGTCACTAAATGAATGAAGCCCAGTCATAAATGTAAGATTTGGGGTGAAGAAGATTTAGATAGAGATTTTCAAAAGGTTGATCCTTAAAGGAAAAGCTATCATCTGGCGACTCCTCATGTGGCAGGAGAGCAAACAGCGAACGAAGCATTGCTATGGAACACGTGATGAGAACACTGAGAAAACATACAACCTTGGAAAGCGATTGGACACGGTAACAGAGCGGAGGTGGACCTTTGCTCTCAGAAAAGAGAGGAAGAGCGATCAAGGTTGAAAAAACATTGAGAAAGAGCAGCCAGTCACAGCTGTGACATCTAAATCAAATTTCCTAGATCAAGGTAGTAGGATCAGTAGGAGATAAAGAGCTGGCCCACAGGCAGCTGAATGCCACGGCTCTTGGAAACATACACATGGCTGCCTAATGCATCTTACAGATACATGTGAAATGGGAATAAAGGCGAATGTAATTGTTCAGCAATGTGGTGCAGATGATGAAATCTAAGCACTTAATTTGGAAAAGAGTATAGTGTTAGGATGACTGCACTGATTACTGTGAGGGGTATGACATGTCTGAATGGGCTTGACAGAGAAGAGGGGCTATGCTCTGTAATTTAGAAATCCAAAGCTAGTGATTTTTTTCTAGGAACATGCACTTTATTCAATCAGCTTTTACTATTAATTCCTTTCAGACACCAACACCACCAACGAAAAAGACACACTTGAACCCCCCCGAATAGAGCCAGATTTGTCTACAAATCTAATTGCACATCTTATTTCTCAGTATTGCTAACTCATGATTTTATTAAGAGGTGAATTACTAAATAAGAAGCAATTTTACAATGAAAAACTAAATTTCCATTCTTCTTTCATTTCCAAAATATTTGCTATAAGGAAACACCAAGAAGCCTGTATGTGTCTGCGTTTTGTTATAATTGTTCACTCTGAAGGCCTCACTGGAGGGGGGCCGCTGTGTGAATGGGGTCTCAGGAACCCAGAAAGACACTCTGGAAAGAGAAACTTCTTACAGTTCTGGGGCTGTTGGTTCTCTAATAAGTAGGAGGGAAACTACCCCTTCCCAACTTGGATAAGTTTCCTGTTGTGGTTTCTCTTGTCTCCATGGCAAGGGCTTTGGAAAACGTTTATAAGGAGGGTTCTTGAAAGTGTTTGGCTTGTCAAGATGCTACCTGTTCTCTCCTTACTCAGTGCACAGTTCGCTGCTACTCCCGGGGGGCTACCTCTCAGCAAAACCCAAATGGCATCACTTGTCTTCCATAAACCTTGCTCACCTCTTTGGACCTCTCTCTGTGCCTGTGACCCAGTCAAAATAGTGGAATCAATTTAGCTACATATATTTTGTGACTCAGAGGTATTTATTTCTCAAAACAATTGTTATATTAAAAGTGAAATTTCAAGTATCAGGGAAATTTTTGTATAGCTTATGTTTTTGATAGCTAATTTTAGATTTTAGAGAGCTAAACCTTACACAAGCTTAGTCAATGACATTTTAAAAATCATAAAAGTTAATGTCCTAGGAGAATTACGATTAAAATATATATATTCTCCTCCATGAATTATTTTCAGAATTTTTTTCAGCAAGCTGTTCTGCATTGCTGTGATCTTTTATTAGTTTCACATGACACATTTCTGAGTCTCTGAATAGTCTCAGTACAGTGAGGCTAAGATCAGATCACCTTTGAATCCCATTATTTCTTTGCTTGGAATTGACTTAGAAGAGGTGATCAAATCCAAAAGGGAACACTTCAGTCAGGCATCAATGACAAACCAAGGTGCCACTCCCTCGGACGACTGCCTCTCCAACTTCCCACATTAAGCACAATTTAAAAAAATGAATCAATAAGATGCTCTTTTTGGTTCTTATTTTCTTCTTCAAGAAGAAAGGTTGTTTTTTAAATAAAGTGTGGAAGCAGCTGAATATACATTGTAGAATCAGAATATACCACTGCCTGATATGGAGGAAGATTCCCAGAGGTGTGTGGTTCCCCCTAACGTTCATTACATGTACAATGCGCCTCAAAGTTCGCCACAATAAATCTTTTGGTTCTCTGACAGAATTATAGTCTCCCAGCTTTTAAAAGCCACCGCACACAGTCCCAAATCCCAGAAAGACAGGGACAGAGACTGTCTTTCCCAGTGTCTAGAGGAGATAATACATTTATTTTAGAATAGGAAGTAACAAGACAATACACCTAGTTTCTTATTCAGTAAGCCAGCTATTTAACATCTTTGTGCTTTTTTTCTTCAGTTGTACACCTGAATTTACTTATCCCACCAGGCCTTTGTTAGGATTAAAGTGAATAATGTTTGTAAAAAGCCTGGTAAATAAAACTCACTTAATGAATGGCAGCCATTGTTATTGTTCTGCCAATATTTGAGTTTGGAGAATGACTTCACTCTTGGGTAGGAGGTAGGGTTGGTTTGCAATGGGCTGGAAAGGCAGTGGGTGGATTTCAGAAGCAAATCTGAGAATTATTAGAATAAGCTACATGCATAGCAATCATGGAAAACAAAAATAGTGGCTTGTTACCAAAAGTCCTAAGGGACTTTCAATGAAATCTGTCAAAAATACCACCAAGGGAATTATGAATATACTCTAGGCTAGGTTGCTTGGCTTAATTTAAGCAACTGCCTTCTTGTACAATTGCAAAAAAAGGCACATTTATAAATTGCAGAATACATAAAAACAAAGTGTTTTGAAACACGTGTCATACCTCTGCTGATTGACTTTATGTTGGAAAATAAAGGTACAGGTAACCTGTCTATGGTTCTTTGCTTCAGCTTTATAATGAGTGACCCTTTATATTAAGTACCTTATATTTCCTAAGGAAGATTTCCTTTTTCATTAGATAATGATGGGGAGAGCATTTTCTATATGTTGATGGGTTGATGGGGTAATACAATTATAAAGAATGTTCCTGGTCAACCCAGAAGTTTTCTCAGTTATGTTTCTCTCCATTTAATCTCTAATGTGGCCCAACAACAGGTATATCCACCTGGACACCTCCTTGACTTCTTTTTAATAACTCAAAGCCTCTCAAAATTAGTACACCTAAAATGATCTCATGATCTACTTCCAGACCAAATTGCTCCTTTTCCTCCATTCCTTGTCACATCCCTGTCATAGAGAAAGGTACTGTCAAATACAACATATTCAGTTTTGTAAGCCAGAAATTTAGGAGTCATTCTTGACAGCCCTCATCTTTTCTTTCCAAATCCAACCCATCAAGGACTGTTGATTTTATATCCTAAATTTCTCCCTCTGTCTGTCTCTATGACTCTTATCATCAATCTAATCTAACCTACCATCATCTGTCTGTTGGACTATTGTAATAACCTCAACTATTCTGAATTCACACGCCTCCCCAACACAGCCATCCCTACCCCAATACTATTCGCATGTGATATCAGGAACCAGACCATATTATCCCACCATCCTAATGCCATACTTAAACCTCTTGCATGACTCCTGATGACCTTCGGATTTAGAGAGAGAGAGAAAATGCCTCAACATCATCTGCAAAGCCCTGCCTTCCATGTCACTCTACCCTTCCGGTCTCTGCTCCGGCCATCCGAGCCTTTGTGTGCTCACTACGCTTGCTCGGGCCACAAGGCAGCTCCAGCTCTTCCTGCTGCCTGAACCACCCTGACCAACCCTTGTCCCCTGGTTATCTATTCAGATTTCAGCTCTGTCATCACTCACACGAGGAAACCTTCCTTGACCCCTGGACCACATCAATTCCCCGTTATACACCTTCATGGTTATATGCCTGTTATACTCTCCTCCGTAACATGTAATGAACTGGTGATTGGATTTTGTCTATATGATTAATATTTTTCTTTCCTATTAATATATAATTTTCAACAGAGAAGTGACCACACTTATTTTTGATACCAGTTAGTCCCAGCCCAAGCTCAGGGTTTACAACCTCACAATACTCGGTAACATTTACAGAGTGAATAAATAAATGATGTTAGGTAAGTTTCCCACACTGTGGGAAGAAATGAGAGTGTTTTGGCATTAAAACAACACACAAAAAGTCCCAGCATGTTATGTAAAATGCCCAGTCTGATCTGTAAATATAAATATGAAAATGGTTAACTCAACCAAATCGAAGTAAGGATATGGGGTTTTACAAAAAGTGAGTTTCTAATGTCTTTTACCTTTAGTTTTAGAGAATTCAGCTTCTCCTCCCTGAGGTGCTCTCTCAGCATCTCCCGGTGGAGCCTCTCCTGCTCCCTCGCGAATTCGCCCAGGGTGTACTGGCGCATGCTGTTGTGGCGGCTGGACATGCCCAGCGTGCTGCCCCCCTGACTGGGCACGCTCGTGAAGCCTTGCCTCCGGGTGAAGTAATACACGGTGACACAGCTGAAATGCACATTCTTCGTCCTCCGCCGCTTCTCTCTTTTGAGGATGGAGGAGGCTGCAGGAGAAAGGAACGATTCAATGAACACCTAGGACAGCAGTTTTCAGAGGCGGCGAAGAATTACAAAATGCCACTTGATGATCTGAGTCAAGGCTGGGAGACACTAAACACGTTCTATCCAAAATGTCCTATCCCAGAGCTGGCACATATTCTTATGTCCTTTCTTAAACTTCCTTCTAGCTATGGTGGGGCAGATTTTTTAAGTCTCTCTGGATTTTTTAAGTAGCGAATGCAAACTCCCAGGAAAGTTGCCAGCAGTCTAAGAATCAGTGGCAGAACTGAAGTTCTCATTTTACTTAACCTCTGAAGTTGGGTTTTAGGATTATCACATGAGCTTCATCGTGCTATAATCAGAAAAGACACAGACTACAAACCCTCATACTTTGGACTTTTGATAAGGAAGGTACCCAGCATGGAAAAACTGCCTATTTATAAGTTTTTGAAAATTCCAAAAAAAAAAAATAAAGCCATAAAAATTTACCAAAAAGGCTCACTGGCACTACCTAGATATTCTTACAACCTAAATCCAACAAAGCTCTCACGTGGTAAGAAGCCCACTCAGTAGCATTACAGACTGTGCGACTTTAATCCAAGTACATGTTAAGATGACTGAAAATGCATCAGAACTGTTATCATCAGTTATAGGGACCTCAAGAGGCACAGATCATCATCAAAGGTTGATGTCTACATGGTGGTTGAGAGAAGGAGAGCCACCCATTGTAACCATGACCTTCTGGAGTTGGAAGATAGGCTAGACATAATCTAACCCAGTCCTTTTTATTTTATATTGAAGTGACCCAGACTTGCAGAATTTGAGTGATTTTCTTCAATGTGGATAGTGGCAAAGCTAAATTTAAACCTAAAAGCTCCCAATCTGGTGCCAGATTATATGACACTTCTCCATTAGGGAAGAGAAGGTACACTGAATTGAGGAGAATGATACAGAATCATGCTGTTATGGACTGAGTTGTATCCCCCTCTCAACCTCCCACGTATGCTGCAGTCCTGACCCTCAACCACCCAGAATGTAACCTTATTAGGGAACAGGGTCTTTACAGAGATGATGGAGTTAAGGTGACGTCATTAGGATGGGTCCTAATCCAATGACAGGTAACCCAATAAAAAGGGAAAATCTGGGCACAGACGTGCATAGAAGGATAATGTGAAGAGACGCAGGAGACACCCGTGTGAAGACAGATATGGAAACTGACATTGAGGATATGCAGCAGCCACAGGCCCAGGCATGTCTGGGGCTACCTGAAGCTGAAAATACAAGTAAGGCTCCTTCCCCTACAGATCACAGAGAGAGCACGGCTCCCTTTGATGTCAGTCTGCTAGCCTCCAGAACCGTGAGACCAGAAATTTCTGTTCCAAACTACTGAGGTGGTGGCACTTTGTCACAGTAGCCCTGGGAGACTAATATGTATGCTCAACTACAAGAACAGATGGAAGGAAATGATGCACAGAAGAAATCCTTGGATAGCAGAAAATAATAGAACCTAACATTTCCGGCGTGCTTGCTAAGTCCTGTGACATGCAAAGAACTTTACATGAATCACCTCATTTTATGTTGACAGCTCCTTAGGTTGATATTACCCATACCTCCGTTTTAAGGAAACCAAGTCACCAAAGGTTAAGTAACATGGCCAAGGTCACGTAACCGGTGGTGAGGCTGGGATTCATCAGGCTTCCCATCACCACGTGACGGTGGGAGCTGAAGCCATTCTACGGGAGTCAGACAAGGCTAAGGAATTTGGTATTTGGTGTCATCCTACTTCTTCTGGTGTATGTCAGCTGCTGCTGCCTTTGAAGGTGATTTTAATTTGGAAGGCAGCATAAGCAATGAAGGGAAAGTGACTACAGTGTCCCTTTGGATTTATGTATGTATCTTCTTCCAGAGGGGTTCAAATTCCTTTGTTTCATTCCCCCAGCCCCCCAACCAAAAAACTTCAAGACAAATTCAGAGGCCATGCTATGGTTGTTTCCATCTCATGGGTTTATTTAGTCCATAAATATAAACCAAGTCTACTATGTGATAGATAATTTATAGATGATTGGATACATCGCTGAAACAACCAGTTGGTGGTCCCTGCCTGCCTGGAGCTTCCATTTCCGGGGGTGAGAAACTCAGAATGAGCGGACTCAGAAGATCACAGAGTGAGAGAAATATGACATTTGGGCGGGACTCTAGCTTTTCCAGTTCTCCCTCCTCCCTGCGGTCTTGCCTCCCCAGAGGAGACCGCCGGAAAGCCAGAGCTTTCAAACGCATCCCTGCCTTTCCCGCTTACTAATGCGGAGGTCGCTGCCACATACTTGCGCTCCTGGCGGCAGAAACAATTTCTGACTTTGATTTAAAAGCTGTGATCTGCTTCTTAACTGTATGTTTAAGTCACCTCAAAACAGAGAAGAATTTGTAAAAGATCACTGTAGAAAGCAAAATCCAACAATCTGCCAGGTAGTCTGCTGCCCTGGTGACCTCCTCCGTCACCACCCTACGACGGGCTAGAGGCTTTGGATTTTGGATGATAACCTTCGACCTTTCTCACTCTTGGTATCATAAAATGACATCCTCATGACATTATCTCTCCAAGCCATACATGTGCAGATAAGAAAAACAAATTTTAACGTATACATTTAAAATTCTTATAAACACTGCCAATGATTTTATTACTTTTTCTTTAGATGAATCATAGTACTCTAGACAAATTTCCTTCTTAAAATTTTAACTCTTGTATCCGTATCTTTAGATTACAAGAATTCTTCAACCTTCTAAATGAATTCATTGTACCACTGTTAAAAAGCCAGATTACCCTTTCCTTAAGGGGCACAGTTTGGAGATGATTTTCTGAAGCTTTGAGAGCAAGGGCGCTTCACCCGGGCTCGTTTATTGCTAACAGTGTCAAAATGCACTGCAGCTATTGGCTGCTTCTTATCCATTAGGATTTATAACTCAAACCTGTACTTATTCTTGTTCTAGTATTTGCATGTTATAAGCAGTACTGTGAAAGCAACGAATGAAAAGCTTATGGAATATATTTAAAAGGAAGGCTTTGAAATACTGTAAGATCAGCCTTATGAGGGATATTTTAAGTGTGGCTCTCCTGAACTTAGAAGCCACCCATTTTTCCCTTTTGATGATTGAATTGGAGCACTAGAATGTGCCTTTATGGGCTACCTCCTGCCTCCAGGCCCTGATTTGACTAACATCACAAAATGAAGTCATAAATAAAGAGTGTGCTCTTCAAGCCTGGGAAAAAGAGACTAAATTCACTCAGCACCACTGCCACAGGGAGTCCGAAACCTCCATGACATGTCCGCCTAGTGATCTGTGCCCTCTGCGGAGTGATTGAACTTGTGTGTCTCTAGGGTGGTCAGTGTTCACTTTCTACTGGAAGGTCAAGAGCAAGAAAAAAGAGGGAGCTGAAGTGTCTTTCCTTACTGCTTTAACAAGAACTGCTCTGTTTCCACACAAGACACTAGTTTTTCAGTGTCTTTCAGCTTCTTCTCTATTATCCCATTTACAGTTACCACCCTGAAGCAGAAGTGTCTGAGTGCAACATTAATATTGCAACATTTGTTTATATATACTGCCCAGGACACAGCTCATGGAAACACCATTATGGGTAGCACACCAGGATACCTTGGTGTTCCTGTAAAATAATCACTACTATTGAGATAAAATTGATCTCTGTAAATCAAAGAGATAAATAGTATAGAATGACTGCTATTAGTCATCTGCAGAAGCTATTCTTCCTAAAAAAATGCTTTAGAAATGAATGGAGAAGAGAATAGGGAAATTGACTAATTCACAATGCTGGAGTAAGAATGCAAGCAGATAAAATAAAATGATCTATGCCACAAATTATATAGGTCATGAGCAGAGCCAAAACTTAGAATTGGACAGTGTGTTTCTAGGGCTGTCCAGGTGAGCCAGGGCTCTGGTAACACAGATATTCTGAATATTCTGACACATAGAAGAGATGATTATATCAAAGTATCAGAGTTGACGGACATCAGGCTCTAAGAAAATTCAGTTGACTTTGTTCCATTTCCACACTTATAAATCAACCTGTTCATCCAGATTAGAATACACCTTCAAGTGACCACCTACTTCACTCATCTCTTACTACAAATAATCAAATTTATTTCAGATTTACACTTCAGCCATTGTGAACGTGGTTAGTGTGCATGAGTCCATCTGAGATTGCCTTCTCTGTGTGAACAGAGACCACCATGTATCTGGGCCTGTAAAATTGGAGACAAGATTCTAGACCACTGATTCCACCATAGTGGAGCCACTCTGGAGCTAATGCTGGAGGAGGAAACTGGTCACCCTCTCAAGGCACACGTTCTTCTTAGAGTCAGCAACTATCAGCAAAACCTTGGTGTAGCTGGACAGGCAGAAAGGAGTAAAAAGGCCTATATATTTTGGCAACAAATTTGGCATGTGGAGGTTGAACATTCATCGGCCAGTCTGATGTCAAACAAGGGGTGTAGTGTAGAAAATACTAATTTTACCATTTGTGTCTAAAGTCACTAGAACACTTCTCTTTCTTATCCACTATGCTCAAAAAGAAAATAGCAGATGATTTTTAAGTCTGTATTTTGAGTTTATTTTTCCTTATTTGGTGTAAACTTAGTAGAACCAAAGTGAGATCGCTGACATTAACTGTTTATCATGGTAAATCCTGGAAAATAAAAAGTCATGTTTTTAAAACACATAGACCAAATTAATCAGGGACTCTCAAAGTGTGCATACTGCCTCTTATCTTTTGAAGAACAAATCAAGATCAAATCAGTTATAAAGTCAGAAAGCTGAGCTTACAAATAGAAAATCCAATTTCATCAGAAAATACTTCATATAGAATTAGCCTAATAGCTTAGATATTTAATCCATTTCCAATGGTTAAAGTTATTAAGATTTTCAAAAAGCCCTTAATCTTTACTTGACTTCTGCAAATTTCCTGTGATCGTATTTTCACCTCTTTTCCAGCTTG